AAAGCACTTAGAATAGTGCCTGGCACATAATAAGCAATTAATGAGTGTTAACTATTATGGGTTGTTTTAGTATTTACTACTTTATGAGTTGGGTACAATTAGCATTTCTATTTTGCATATGGAAAAACTAAGGTACCAAGAGGTGAGGGAAGAGTTAGGGGTGGTAGATGAGATTGCATAAATCTGAAATTGTATTTCATCTTTAGGAATGAAAATGTTAAGCATTAATGATATCAGTAATCATCATAGCTAGTAGAAGGAAGCAACATAACACAGTGCTGGAGAATGTGGGCTCTGGAGATTGACAGCTTAGATTTGAAGGCTGGCTCATCTACTTTCTTACTTCACGATCTTAGGCACTCACCATAACCGCAGAGCTCCTGTCTCCTCCCATCTATCTGTCCATTTGTGAAATGCATTTCTCGCTATGTCCATAAAGACCAGAACTTTATAATCCTCCTGATAGAATTGGGGAAATAACAGGTCTGCTGGGATCCCGGTGCAAATCCAAGAGATCTTCATAGTTGAATTTACTGAACCCCCTGAGTCCTGGACCAGGCAGCTCTGGGACTTGGTGAGAAGCATCAGGTGGTAACATCCTGATGATTTTTCATAGAGGGCACTGAAGAATACTAAGGCTTCCTGTCCTGTGCTGCTCTTCCCAAAGAGTCAGCCCCATGAGTTGCCTGGTGACGAACGGAGGCAGGTGGCGACCTAGAGGATGTTTAGGGACTGGGACACACTCGGTCCTTCTGGAGCAACAGAGATAGGGAGGCATTTCAATTTCTCAGGAGACTAAGCCTAAGCTTTTTCCAAATTCTGCCAACGAGAAATCAGGCAGCACAGCCAAAGAGGTGTGCCTGAGTGCTTTAAACATGGGGAGCACGTCAGAGAGGAGAGAAGTTCTCAAACCTTATGCCTACGCCTAGGGGATGTAGGTGGTGGAAAATAAGCCTGTGATGATGAAGTAATGTCTCTCCCTGTCTCTGCCGGTGTTAACCCTTAGAAATCATCCATCAAGCATGATGTAATGGAAAAGCTGAGATGTATTTCTAGATCTGTCACTTATCAACTGTGATAATAAGCAAGTTACTTTAACCCCTTGGGCCATTTATGCTTCACTCGTCCACTGAGAATAATGGTTATTTCAGGGGATCACTGTTAGAATTATAATAGAACATGAGAGCACTCAGAAAAGGACTTGAGGGGAGGGTGGGGATAAGGGAGAGAGATCAACCAAAGGTCTTGTGTGCTTGCATATGAGCCTAACCAGTGATCATGGACAACAAGGGGGTGAGGGCATGCGTGGGGAGGGGTTTGGGATGGGAATGGGGGAGGGGGAATGACAAATATGTGATATCTTAATAAAATAATTTTTTTATATTTTATTGATTTTTTACAGAGCAGAAGAGAGAGGGATAGAGAGTTAGAAACATCGATGAGAGAGAAACATCGATCAGCTGCCTCTTGCACACCCCCCACTGGGGATGTGCCCGCAACCAAGATACATGCGCTTGACCAGAATCGAACCTGGGACCTTTCAGTCCACAGGCCAACACTCTATCCACTGAGCCAAACCGTTTTCGGCAATAAAGTAATTTTTAAAAAAGGAATTGGAGAACATCATGCTAAGTGAAATAAACCAGTCAATGAAAGAAAAATACCACATGATCTCACCCATTTATGGATAATAAAGAAAATTATAAACTGTTGAACAAAAAGATAGATACAGAGACAGTAAAGCATCAAACAGAATGTCAAATTACAGCGGGAAGGTTAGGGAGAGGTGGGGGAGATAGATCAACCGGACTTCTATGCATGTATATAAGCATATCCAATGGACACAAAACTTTGAGGGGTGAGGGCATGTATGGGAGTGTGGTGGGAGGGCAATAGTAAGATATGTACACATATAATACCTTAATAAAAAAAGAAAAAGAAAGAAAAGAACTTGAAACATCATAGAATCTCCATAGAGTACTCCCTTTCCTTTCCAATATGGGACTGAGAACAGGCTTTGGTAGTCATTGTCCATCCGCATGTCATGCTTCCCACTCACAGTCAGAGTTTGGGGATGTTTAATGAAACTTTTTATTTGGAAATAAATTTAGATTTCAGAACAGTTTCAAAGATTGCATAAAACGTTTCTGTATATTCTCCAGCCAGTTTCTTTAATACAACCATGGCACATCTGTCAAAACTAAGGAATTTCTGATGGTTAATTACTGTTAACCACAGTCCAGATTTCCTTGGTATTTCATCAGTTTTCCCATTAGTGCTTGTTTTCTATTCCAGGATCAATGCAGGGCACCTCACCATGTCTGCTTAGAACGGTGGTTGCAAGTGCTGGAGGGATGGAGGAATGGGCAATCCTTGTTTAATGGAGACAGAGTTTTTGGTTTGGCAAGATGAAAAAAAGTTCTGTAGATGGCCACACAGCAATGTGAATGTAGTTAATGTAGTCAATACTACTGGAGTATAGACCTAAAAATAGTTAACATGGGCCGATACCGGTTTGGCTCAGTGGATAGAGGTCGGTCTGCGGACTTAGGGGTCCCAGGTTCAATTCCTGTCAAGGGCATGTACCTTGGTAGCGGGCACATTCCCAGTGGAGGGTGTGCAGGAAGCAGCTGATCAATGTTTCTAACGCTCTATCCCTCTCTCTCTCTTCCTCTCTGTAAAAAATCAATAAAAATATGTTTTTTTTTAAATTAAAATGGTACATTTTACGTTATGGGTATTTAGCACAATCTTTAAAATAATAATAATAAAGAAACAATCTAGCCGAAACCGGTTTGGCTCAGTGGATAAAGCGTCAGCCTGCGGACTGAAAGGTCCCGGGTTCGATTCTGATCAAGGGCATGTGCCTTGGTTGCGGGCACATCCCCAGTGGGGAGTGTGCAGGAGGCAGCTGGTCGATGATTCTCTCTCATCCATGTTTCTAACTCTCTATCCCTCTTTCCTCCTCTCTGTAAAAAAAAAAAAAAAAAAAAAAAAAAAAAAAAAAAAAAAAAAAAAAAAAATCAATAAAATATATTTTAAAAAATAAAAATAAAATAAAGAAATAATCCAAGGACATCCCTAGCTCAGGGACAAGAACACAGCTGGTGCTCAATCCTTGTCAGTTCCCTTCTTCCACTCACCGGTGTGATTACACGCCTTGAGGTCCTGCAAAATAAACCTCTTGTACCCTGATGTTAAAAGAATAGCAAGTGCTGGGGAAAGGAATTGTTTCTGAAAGTGGGAAGCAGACGGTGGCCAGTGAGGGCGCACTCCAGGCGCTCTCCCACACAGCAGGTCGGGTGGGCTGATGGCCCCTCCGTCCAGCAGAGAGAGGCATTACTGTGTTGGGTAGTGAGGACGCGGGCGGGGGCGCTCGAACCCGGGAGCCTGCAGCTTCCGACCCCAGCGGCTACCAGCTCCACCCCCGCGGGGCCCTCCTCCAGCCTCGATCCACCCTTCAGCTCCCGCTCCTCCTCTGGCTCCTCCCACCCTCTCCCCGCGCCGCCTCCTTTGCAGACTCGCCTCTTACAGAAAATCGAAAGTGAAATAGAACGCCGGCTGCCGTCCCCCGGGTCCCCGGAGTCCCCCGAAAAGGTGAGTGGACCAGGTGGGACCTAGGTACCCCTGCCCAGGCCCGAAGCTCCCCTTTCCGCCAGTCGCCACCCCAGAGCCTGGGGTCAGTTTCCCCTTCTCCGCAGCAGGTCCTCCAGGGAGGAGGCTGGGCTGGGAACGTGACTTCCAAGTCCTGTGGAAGCAGCTGGGGCTGCCCTGCCGCCCGCGCCTGAGCTGGGACCCGGGCGGCTAAAGCTGAGAGGGTGTGTGTGTGTGTGTGTGTGTGTGTGTGTGTGTGTGTGTGTGTGTGTGTGCGTGCGCGTGCGTGTGTGTGTAGACAGAACTGAAGCCGGAAACCCAGCCGGAGGGTGGTCCCGAGGAGTCCAGCGTGGCGGAGGGCTGCGATCCTGAGACTCCCATCCCCGCCCCTAAGGGGCCCATGTGGCTCATTGGTTAGAGTCCCGTGCACTGAAAAAGGCTGTGGGTCCGATCCCCGAACAGGCTCCTATGGATGGCAACCGATCCCTGATATTGGGCACTTTCTCTCTCATCTCTCTCTCTCTCTCTCTCTCTCTCTCTCTCTCTCTCTCTCTCTCTCAATAAAATAAAACAATAAATAATAAAATAAATAATAAAATAAAATAATAAATAAAATAAAAAGTACCCCTCTGAAAGAGAGAGGGACAGGGTAAGAATGGAGGAAATGAAGACAGCTGCCAAGTTCAGAGTAGCTGAGAGAAGAGCCCAGAGAGTGCTGATAACACATACATGTGTGTGTATAAATATATATATGAGAAGAGTAATAAGTATTCTCATACTTATGAGAATACATAAGAGTAGCCCTGGCCAGCCGAGACCTGTTTGGCTCAGTGGATAGAGCATTGGCCTGGGGACTGAAAGTTTCCGGGTTCGATTCCGGTCAAGGGCATGTACCTTGGTTGCGGGCACATCCCCGGTGGGGAGGGTGCAAGAGGCAGCTGATCGATGATTCTCTCTCATTGATGTTTCTGACTCTCTGTCCCTCTCTCTTCCTCTCTGTAAAAAATCAATAAAATATATTTTTTTAAAAAGAATAGCCCTGGCCAGTGCAGCTCAGTTGGTTGGAGTGTCCTCCCGTACACCAAAGGTTGTGGGTTCGATTCTGGTCAGGGCACATACCTAGGTTGGGAGTTTGATCCCTGGTTGGGAAGACAGTTTTCACTGTCTCTTTTGGGGACTCAGTTACCCGCTTCTGTCTTACTGAATCAGACAGGCTGAGGAGGAAGAGGTTTTGTTATTCAGGTTAATGTCCTTGTCTTGTTTTAACCCCTCCAATTCACTTCACTCTCCCTTTTGAGTTGTTTTGTTTTCCTCACCCCCTTTCTCCTCTTCTCCCTAACTTTTCTCCTCTCCCCGCTAGGTCACCTCGCCATCTCCACAGTGCTGCTCACTAGGAACATCCCCTCATGGCGTCAGCAAAGCCCTTGGCAATGATGTGGGAGGAGGTCACATGCCCCATCTGCCTGGATCCCACAGTGGAGCCTGTGAGCATCGAATGCGGCCACAGCTTCTGCCGTGAATGCATCTCTCAGGTCGCCAGCGGTGGGGGCGGCGCCTGTCCTGTGTGCAGGCAGCCATTCCTGCTCAGGAACTTCCGGCCCAATCTCCAGCTAGCCAATATGGTGGACAACCTGAGACAGATCAGCCAAAACGCCAAGGAGGGCACACAGGAGGAGCAATGCAGGGTGCATGGAGAGAAACTTCTCCTGTTCTGTGAGAGAGATGAGAAGGCTCTTTGCCTGGTGTGCTCCCAGTCTCGGAAACACCGAGACCACCCGGTGGTTCCGCTTGAGGAGGTTGCCCGGGAGTACCAGGTGAGGTGTTGGCACAGAGGCACGGACAGGAGATGGGATGGGAGGGAGTTGCCTGTAGAGGTGGGGGACTGGAGAAACGGAGAGCGTTCCCCGCCTTCTTGTCTAATTGAAGGCCCAGCGGAGCTTTCTTATTCCCCGGAGCAGGGAAGATGCTATGGGGAAATGCTGCAAAGATCTTGTTTCCTTGTGGTTTCCTGGTTAATTAGGAATGAGTAGAGCTCTTTCTGTGTGTGGAGAGACAGAACTGCCACCTGAACAGTGTGGCTCTTTCTTAAGAAACATGAGGCTTTTCCCAAAAAACTTGAACCTCAATAGGACTAGTCCTCCCTCCTTTTCTGCCCTCAAGCTTTTCTGACAACCCATAGGATCTTCCCCCACCTCCTTCTTGGTCTGATGGGGCATTACCCTGCTATCTTTCTCTGCAGGAGAAGCTCCAGGTGGCGTTAAAGAAACTGAGAAGAGAGCAAGAATTGGCTGAGAAGTTGGAAATGGATGTCGAAACCAAGAGAGCAGCCTGGAAGGCAAGAGTCACATCCCCTAAGGCATCTTAGATCAAAAGCGTAGACAGAGGCGAGGGTCCTAGCCCCAAGAAAACCCTAACCTTAGCACTGCCTGTCTGAGGAGTGATAGAGTCCGCGTGGGTCACTCTCCAAGAACTAACCGTCCTCTTGGTCTCCTGGTCGAGGGAAGTAAGCAATATGGAGCTCAAAGAGAGCTCCCGATCGGACACAGAAATTGAGAGTCTTAAGAGACGATGCTGAGGGAAAAGCCACACCCTAAAGCTCCTGCCAGTCTTAGGGGATGACCGCACCAATGCCTTAGTATCTGGGACAGAGAAATCCCAGGAGAGATAAGGCTATGCCTGTCGGGAAATGACAGGGGCTGTGAGGAACGGACTTAGGGAACCACCAAGGCCTGAGCTGGGAAAACCAGTCTGACCGGGTGATTGCTTGACTGTGTCCAGATCACTGATCCAAAGTAGAATGAGGAACTAAAGCTTATTCTGCACTGGTGATGTGGAGGTGAGGCGGGTCAGGAGTGGAGTGGAAGGAACTCATGGCTAATAGGTACCAGGAGAGGGAGATTTAGGAAACAGGGAGGGTGTACCAAGCTGTGGTGACAGAAGGGGTCGTCTTGTGTCGTTGGTAGCCCTCTAACCACTAGAGGGCGAGCAAAGTACAGCACAAAGACTTTCTTGCCCCAGGACATACGGGTGGTGCTGTGGACTTTTGTGAGGTTGAGTGGGGACAGGTGTTACTTCTCAGTAACACTGAGATATGAAGACCAAAGGACGCATTTGAGTGCTGATTGGCTTTTAAAAGAAGTTGAGGAGAGTCTCTGGGCTGGTGCAGCTGTTATTCTAGGGCAACTGCCATGTGCCACACCAATCCCATTCCCCTCTTAATCCCAGAAGCCTCACCCACCCACTTTCCCAGCAAAATGATGAGTGTGTGTGTGTGTGTGTGTGTGTGTGTGTATGTGTGTGTGTTCCCAGACAGAGCCAGAGTGGTGAGTCGACAGAGAGTAGAAATGGGTATGGACACCTCAATTCTCCAAGCTTGGGAGATTTTGACTTTTAAAAAACCCACCTCCCTCTTTCCAATGGCACCAAAGGAGAAGGTTAAGACACACAAACTGAGGATTCAGGCAGAGTTTGAGCAGCAGAAAAACTTCCTGGCTGAAGAGAAACAGAGGCAACTGCAGAAGCTAGAGAAGGAAGAGAGGGAACAGCTGAGAATCCTGGGGGAGACGGAGGAAAGGCTGGCCCAGCGCTGCCAGGCCCTGCAGGAGCTGATCTCAGAGCTGGAGAGGAGAAGCCGGGGCTCAGATCTGGAGCTGCTGCAGGTGAGACGGGAGGGGCTCCCACTCTGCTCTCCAGGAGGAACCCAACAGAAGCCGGAGCTCCCTGGGGCTACCATCAGAGCAAACAGAAACCTGGTCCCTGGAAAGATTTTGCTTTTCAGACATGGCTGGAAACTTTTGGGGGAACTTGAGGGTCTGCTGAATCAAGTGATGAGGGCTTGGATCTGGATGTGTTGAGTTGTTGTAGCGCTGGAGTGTTGATCTGTGAGTGCCTTGTGTGGGATCTGGATGAGGTTGGTTGATCTATTTGGATGTTTCTTTTGTTGAAGTGTGTCCTTGGGCATGTGGAGGTATTATTGATTTGAGGAAATGCTAAGTAATTGATTTGCTACCTGAAAAATTTAAAGTTCTGAAAGTTTAAGGTCTCGTGCCAAAAAGAGGTTTTAAAGCTAACACCTTAATTTTATTTTTTATTTATTTTTTATATATTTTTTGATATTTTATTTTTTTAAATCAATCTTTATTGTTCATATTATTACAAAGGTTCCTCATTTCTTCCCTCCTCCACCAGGTTCCCACCCCCTCCCCACCCCCCATTGTCCTCCTCCAAAAGTGCACAGTTTATGTTCAGTCTCTTCCTCCCTCCCTTTCCCCAAGAACAGTCAGTCCACTCCCCTCCCATATCGCCGACTCTACTGCTATTATTGTTCATCAGGTTTTTTAATCTCCTTTTTTGTTGTTGTTGTTGTTGTTGTTGTTTTTATAATTAATAAACTTTTACACTTCTAAGAATAAATTTTAAAATCTAATAATTTTAAACCTTGTTTTTTTTTTTTCTGCCCTGGGAACTGAGAAGCAAACTTGTTTAAATGTAAACTTGCCCTTGGGCTATCAAAAGGTGTAGCCATTCAAGTGTAAATGGACACTTCTGAGTGGGAAGGGCTAGCCATCCATAACAGGTAATCAGGTAATCCAATTCCAGCCAGCAGCTATCTTTAAACAATGTGTCCATTTACACTTGAATGGCTACACCTTTTGATAGCCCAAGGGCAAGTTTACATTTAAACAAGTTTGCTTCTCAGTTCCCAGGGCAGAAAAAAAAAAAAAACAAGATTTAAAATTATTAGATTTTAAAATTTATTCTTAGAAGTGTAAAAGTTTATTAATTAAAAAAAAAACAAGGAAATTTAAAAATCTGATGAACAATAAAAAAATAAAATAAAAATAAATTTAAAAAACAACAACCTGGAATTCAGACCCATGAATGATTTGCATTCAAAGCATGGAAAAATACAGATTTAGGAGGGAGTAATCCATGCAGCAATTTTTATTTTTTTTAAATTTTTTTAAATCAATCTTTATTGTTCATATTATTACAAAGGTTCCTCATTTCTTCCCCCCCTCCACCAGGTTCCCACCCCAACCTCCGCCCCCTCCCCATCCCCCATCGTACTCATCCATAGGTGCACAGCCTATGTTCAGTCTCTTCTTCCCTCCCTTTCCCCGATAGTAAATCCCTTTTCAGATAGTAAATCAGTTACTTAGCATTTTCTCATATCAACAATACCTCCACATGCCCAATGATACACTTCACACAAAAGTCATTTCCCAATAGGTCAACTAGCCTCATCCAGGCCCCATCCAAGGCACTCACAGATCAACACCCCAGCCCTATACTAACTCAACACATCCAGATCTAAGCCTTCATCACTTGATTCAGCAGACCCTCAAGTTCCCACGAAAGTTTCCAGCCATGTCTGAGAGGCAGCCGTGGGGCAGGGGCAGGTGAGGAGCGAGCTGTTCTGGGCCTCGCTGCTCAGGGCCTGGCCTCTGTTGCTCTGGTTTGTTCCACAACCAGCTGCTCCAGGTCTGGTCACTTCCGCTCCAGACCTAGTTGCTCTGGACTTGGCTGCGGCTGCTTCGGTCCTGGCCACTCCCAGCCTGGCAGCCGCTGCTCCCGGCCTGGCCACACCCGACCCGCCTGCTCCCCTGGGCCTGGCCGCTCCCAGCCTGGCAGCTGCTGCTCTGGGCCTGGCCACACCCGACCCGGCTGCTCCCCCGGGCCTGGCCGCTCCCAGCCTGGCAGCCGCTGCTCCGGGCCTGGCCACACCCGACACGGCTGCTCCCCTGGGCCTGGCCGCTCCCAGTCTGGCAGCCGCTGCTCCCGGCCTGGCCACACCCGACCCAGCTCATGCAGCAATTTTTAAAAAATGAATGTCTCTGATAATGCTTGCTCTAACATGTACGGTTCATGATCTTGAGAAAGGTCCTTAATCAGGTTTCTCATGTGTTAAATGGATATTATAATATTACATATCTCAAAGAATTTTTTTGAGAATTAAACAAGATAATCTACTAAGGCTTTTTTTAAAAATATATTTGTTTTAATTTATTTTTTACAGAAAGGAAGAGAGAGGAATAGTGAGTTAGAAACATCAATGAGAGAGAATCACCGATCAGCTGCCTCCTGCACACCCCCTACTGGGGATGTGCCCACCACCAAGGAACATGCCCTTGACCAGAATCGAACCTGGGACCTTTCAGTCCCCAGGCCAATGCTCTGTCCACTGAGCCAAACCGGTTTCAGCAACACTAAGGCTTTTTTTGTTGTTGTTGTTGTTTTTGTTTTTTTACAGAGAGGAAGGGAGAAGGATAAAGAGCTAGAAACATCAATGAGAGAGAAACATCGACCAGCTGCCTCCTGTACAGCCCCCACCGGGGGTGTGCCTGCAACCAAGGTACATGCCCTTGACCAGAATCGAACCTGGGACCTTCCAGTCCGCAGGCCGACGCTCTATCCACTGAGCCAAACCAGTTCCGGCAACACTAAGGCTTTTTGATGAGTATCTGGCCATGGGAAAGTTTTCCTAAAAAACTAAAAATATTGAACTGAAAATTTAGAGACAGTAGCCCAGCCCCAGGCCTGTCACCAATTCCCTCTATCATTCTAGGTTAAGTCATTTTTTCCTTTCCTGGACCGAATTTCTCCATTTGTGAAAAATAAGGGAAAGGAGATGGACTAAAAAACAAGAATTCCCCAAACTTAAGTCATAATTGTATCTCCTTTATACTTTCTGCTACTTCTATGAACTACCTAAGTGATCTTAACATGTTATTTTTCTTTAAATTGTCTCACTCTTTTGCCAGAATAAATTTAGTTTAAAAGGAAATTTGTCCTAATCAATAATAGCCAAGAAATCATGCTGATATTGTTGCTGATAATTTTTCTATTTCATAAAAATAAGAATAACTGCATATTCCTTTTAAAAATATATTTTTTATTGATTTTTTAAATATATTTTATTGATTTTTTTTACAGAGAGGAAGGGAGAGAGATAGAGAGCTAGAAATGTCGATGAGAGAGAAACATTGACCAGCTGCCTTTTGCACACCCCCTACTGGGGATGTGCACGCAACCAACGTACATGCCCCTGACTGGAATCGAACCTGGGACCTTTCAGTCCGCATACTGAAGCTCTTCCACTGAGCCAAACCGGTTTCGGCTTTATTGAATTTTTTACAGAGAGGAAGGAAGAGGGAAAGAGCATTAGAAATATCAATGAAAGATGGAAACATCAAACAGCTGCTTTCTACACACCTCTTACCTGGAATGTGCCCGCAACCAAGGTACATGTCCTTGACCGGAATCAAACCTGGGACCCTTTATTTATTTTTATTTTTTTCAAACCTGGGACCCTTTAGTCCTCAGGCCGACACTCTATCCACTGAGCCAAACCGGTCCCAGGTTTGGCTGAATATTTTTTAATACACATATTACACACCAAGTATTGAATCCCTCCTGACATTGTGCTGAGATGGTGCTCCTATTATTCCATTTTGTAGATGAGAAAACTAAGGCACAGAGATATTAAGAGACTTAGTGAGAGACAAAAGCTAAATACTAAGTTGACCAAGTTCACCCGAATAGTATGAGATAGAGCTAAGATTAAAATAAGTACATAACTATTTTTTTTAAGTCACCAGTGTAAATACTACTTAAAATGATCTCATATCCACCAGTAATACATTTGCCAAGCTTCTAATGCACCTTTGGAGCACCGAGGAGCCTGCCAGGATCAGATACGGGCTCCCAACCTCAGCAACAGAATATTCTCAGGTGATTTGATTTCACATACGTGAGGGAGCAACACTAACGACAGCACAGGACAGAGCTTTAGCCAGCCCTTTCTCTCCAAACAACTCAAGCCCACAGATGAGACAGAGCAGTTTCTGTGCATCCTGACGTGGCTATTCTTTCCCTGTGACTGTCTCTGGGCCTCCCCCAGGCTGGGCTGTTTACTTCTTTCCACCCTCGCCACCCACTTTCTCTCCCCAAGAATCTAGTCTTTCTAACTTGTTTGATCATCCTCTTGGCTACAGATTACATATGGTTATATGTGGGTTTCTGGTTACCCACAAGCATCCACACGTCCCTTTGTCCCAAGTTGGTCAGAGATGTCTTTCGGGCCATGGCCCAGAGGAACTGGGCAGAGCGATGTCATTAAACCAGTGATTCTGGAACTTACTCTCTGTCTCTTTTTTCCTCAGGAGGTGAAAAGTGTCCTGGAAAGGTAAGGAGAGGTTTTCTTTATTGGAGGAAGGGGTGGCAAGAAGTGTATTTACCTGCATAAATGATTATTGAGTTAGAGAAACATGCATCCTTCCTATTCTCAGAGATACAGTCCTCCACAAAATATTTTCAGGTCTCCAAGGGCTAATTCTTGGGCATCTCATTTGGTGAGTTGTCCATAGTAATTGGACTGTAACATCTTCACAAAATGAAGCCCCGACAAACAGGGAAATTCTGGGAGGTTCTGGGTCTACTGAACTAATAACTAACCAGCTACAGCCGAAACCGGTTTGGCTCAGTGGATAGAGCGTCGGCCTGTGGACTGAAAGGTCCCAGGTTCAATTCCGGTCAAGGGCACATACCTTAGTTGCGGGCACATCCCCAATGGGGGGGTGTGCAAGAAGCAGCTGGTCGGGGTTTCTCATCGACGTTTCTAGCTCTCTATCCCTCTCAATCCCTCTCTGTGTAAAATCAATAAAATATATATTTTTTAAAAAACTAACCAGCTACACTCCTCCCAAAAAGAGCCATGAATAGGACCCACGGCAAGGGTGGGACTCCATGACGTTCCTTAGAAAATGATTCAGCGTAGGTGGGAATGCAGACTGGTGCAACCACTGTGGAGAACAGTGTGGAGTTTCCTCAAAAAACTGAAAATGGAACTCCCATTTGACCCAGTAATCCCACTTCTAGGAATATACCCCAAGAAACTAGAAACACCAATCAGAAAGGATATTTGCACCCCTATGTTCATAGCAGCACAATCTACAATAGCCAGAATTTGGAAACAGCCTAGGTGTCCGTTAGCAGATGATTGGATCCAAAAACTTTGGTACATCTACACAATGGAATACTATGCTGCCATAAAAAAGAAGGAATTCTCATCATTTGCAGCAACCTGGATGGAATTGGAGAACATCATGCTAAGTGAAATAAGCCAATCAATGAAAGAGAAATACCACATGACCTCACTCATTGGTGGACAATAAAGCTCTTTATGAACTGATGAACCAAGAGACAGAGATAGAGAAAGTAAAGCAACAGGCAGACTGTCAAATTACAGTGGGGAGGGGAGGAAGATCTGGGGGAGATAATAGATCAAACGAAGGACTTGTATACATGCATATAAGTACAACCAATGTTCATAAAACTCTGGGGAGGGAGGGGATGGGTGGGAGGGAGGGAGGGGGGTAAAAAAAAATTAATAAAATATGTTAAAAAAAAATCAATAAAATGTGAAAGAAAAAAAAAAAAGAAAGAAAGAAAGAAAATGATTCAGCGTAGACCAGCACCCTGCCTATAAAATGAAATCGGATGTGCTTGTGTGGTGACCTCGGGCTTGGAGAGGAGCTACGGACTATGCACGTGCTCCAGCGGCCCATGTGATGTGGGGGACTGGATAGGGTGTACGTCCTGCCTCCTTTTGCCTCTCACCCGCAGGGATTCTAATATAACAGGAGCTTGTAAATTTATGTTTCGTTAAGTTGTCAGTCATCTGCAAGAGAAGTTATCACATTAGGGTTTGGGGAAGGTGGTGGGGAGTTGGAGATGAGGCGTCTAATTCTCTTTCCCCCAGGAGTGAATCCTATAAACTAGAAGAGGTGGACATCACCTCCCCAGACCTGAGGAGTGTGTGCCTTGTGCCGGGGCTGAAGAGTATGCTGAGGATGTGTGGAGGTGAGGCAAGCTCCAAGAGTACAGAGTCGCCTGCTGAACAGCAATGGGATTTCACACTAGAGTGTGACTAGGTCCAGGGTCAGGGAGAGATGTCAGGTCAAAGTAGAGGGGCAGGAACAGAGCTAGGGAAAGTGGTTCCCTCAGAAGTCCCGACAAGGGCTGGCGCTGGCTTGGCTTGGGTGTCATTTCCTCACACAGTGATGGTCAGGTTCACCCTATCATCCCCCCACCACAGAGACAGAGTTAGTTACTCCCCACACACACTCTCCCGGCCTAACTGTGGTCCTCTCTCTGCAGTACACGTCACTCTGGATCCACACACAGCCAATCCGTGGCTTATCATTTCAGAGGACAAGAGACAAGTAAGGCTTGGAGACACCCAACAGAAGGTGCCTGAAAATGAGGAGAGATTTGATACTTATCCTATGGTCCTGGGTACCCAGTGCTTCGACTCTGGAAAACGTTACTGGGAGGTAGATGTGACGGGAAAGGAAGTCTGGGACTTGGGCGTCTGTAGAGACTCTGTGCAGAGAAAGGGGCATTTTACACTCAGCCCCACGAATGGCTTCTGGACAATTTGGCTGTGGAAGAAACAAGGCTATGAGGCTGGCACCTGCCCGCAGACTCCACTCCACCTTTCGGTGCATCCACGCCAAATTGGGATCTTCCTGGACTATGAGGCCCGTACTGTCTCCTTCTACAACATCACTGACCATGGCTCCCTCATCTACACCTTCTCAGAATGTGCCTTCACTGGGCCCCTACGGCCTTTCTTCAATCCTGGTTTCAATGATGATGGAAGAAACTCAGCCCCTCTGACCCTCTGTCCTCTGAGGATGGGATGATAGGGATCCACTGACTGTTGATGGCTCTCTCTGGACATTGACACCTCCTTTGTTGACTCCCCTCCTCAGCCACTGATCCTGTCTTATTTTCCCATGGCCTCTGAATTGCCTTTGTCTCTGCAGAGGTGTTGGGATACCAGCAAGCCAGGTTTGACAAGGAGGTCACTGAATATCTATTTCAAGTGATCTTCAACCTCAATACTCCTGCCCTAGATTGCTTATGATTCCCTCTACAAAAGAAACTAATTATATTTGGCCCAAACTGATCTGGATCAACCAAAACATGTTCTGCCTTCTTTTTTTTTTTTTTTTTTTTTTTTCTTCTCCCCATCTCTAGGCCTTTGTTCAGATCTCTATTTTATCTTACATCATTTGCAAAAGGGCTTCCCAAGGAAACTGTGCTTCAATCTTCCCCATTCAATTCTTGTTCTCATACTCCTTTGGGACAATCTTTCTAACACAAGCACAACTGATCATAGGTGGCTCCACATTTTTTTTTTTAAGATGAATTATGCACACCTTAGGTTGCCTGCATACCCATTCTCACCATTATCTCCCAGCCATACCTCAATAATGGAGTATGTTAAAGGACACATCAATCTAAATGAAAGTTGTGATGGATTTTTGATGTGCCCACTTGGTTAGGTTCTAAGCACCCTGTTTTCAATCAAACCCTAATCCACATGTTGCTGTGAAGGTGTTTGGTAGATGTCGTTAAAGTCCATAATTATGTGACTGTAAGTAGAGGAGATTTCCCTACATGAGCTGAGTGGGTCTGATTCAATCAGGTGTAAGGCACCAACAGCAGAATCAAGCCTTCCCTGAAGAAGATGTTCCATCTATGAAGAGCAGCTTAAGCTCATGCCCAAGCATTCCAGTCTTGTCCTTCTTAATGGTCTGTCCTGCATATTTAGAACTTGCCTTGCCAGCCCCCATAATTGCCTAAGTCTGTGGTCGGCAAACTGCAGCTTATAAGCCACATGCAGCTCTTTGACCCCTTGAGTGTGGCTCTTCCACAAAATACCATGGCCTGGGCGAGTCTATTTTGTTTTTGTTTTTTTGTGTGTTTTTTTTAAATATATTTTATTGATTTTGTACAGAGAGGAAGGGAGAGACATAGAAAGCTAGAAACATCGATGAGAGAGAGTCATTGATCAGCTGCCTCTTGCACACCCCCTACTGGGGATTTGCCCGCAACCAAGGTACATGCCCTTGACCTGAATCAAACCCGGGTCCCTTCAGTCCCCAAGCCGACGCTCTATCCATTGAGCCAAACCGGTCTCGGCTGGGCGAGTCTATTTTGAATAAGTGGTACTAGAAGAAGTTTAAGTTCAGAAAATTTGACTCTAAAAAGAAATTTCAATTGTACTGTTGATATTTGGTTCTGTTGACTAATGAGTTTGTCAACTACTGGCCTAACTGAATCCCTTGCAGTAAATCTCAATATTTATCACTTACTACTTCTGCTTCTTCAGTGGAACTGATTGGTATGAAGGCCAGGACTGAGATGATCGCACCACCTAGTGAAAGCCAATACTTTTTTGAGTTTAAACTTTTAAGGTTGGAACAATGAAGCTTTGTACCTGAGCAATAATAGGCCATGAGAGAGCCATTATCTTTCCAATAAGCCTGGTTCCTTATCTAAAATAGAGTATCAGATGTGCCCTTAGACACCTGCTAAATTTCATGAAAAATTCAGATACTGTAAAATTCAAATGAGATCTATTGACTTTTGTGATCTTTGATTCATTTGCCATGTGATTTCAGTAACATTACTTTCTTGCTCTGGGTCTCTCTTTTACCACCTTAAAACTAAAGTTGGAATGTAAACGTCAAAATAAATGAACCAAACAGAAACAAACTCATAGATACAAAGAATAAACAGGGTTGCCAGACAGGAGGAGGTTGGGAGGAAAGGTGAAAGGATTAAGAAGTGCAAATTGCCAGTTATAAAAATAGTCACAAGGATGTAAAGTACAGCCTAGAGAAAGAGGTCCATGCATGCTGGTCTTTTAGGGCAGGGATGCTCAGCAGAATGAAGACCAAGTGGCTAGTGTCAAATTTAGAGAACATAGTCAATAATGTAAAACTGTGTGGAGTCAGATGGGAGCTGGACTTATCTGGGTGATCACTTCATAAGTTACAGAAGTGTCTAATTGCTATGTTATACACTTGAAATTAATATAATATTAAAACATTGTCTGATGTTAAGTAAGCAGAGTAATATCTAATGATCTACAATCCAATAAAGCTGAAGGTGGTTGACTATCGCCTCCTAGGTTAGCATCCAACCTCCTTAATTTGTAATCAAACAATATATTTCTGTTTTGATCTTTTTACCATTGCAGAGTAGATGTGACCAAACAATCACACAGGATTGTAATATGTTTTAAATGCATTAAATATTTATGTGACAATAGTCAATCCTTAAACTTCAAGATAACTTCATCACGTTCTCCACCTAATTCACTTGACATCCTACAGCTAAATAGGCTAAATTACCCACTCAATTAGGTTCCTGTAGTAGTTTTTTTGTTGTTGTTGGGTTGGTTTTTTGGGGGGTTTTTTACAATGAACATGTTCACTTAGCATATAATTTATTGGCTAAATAAATAATTACTTTTTCTGTAAAATTATTCACTGAAGAAAAAAAAAAAGACAATATCCTATTTCTTTTTTCATCCTAGTTTTCCTGGACCACTGGTTATGGAAAAGAATTGAATGCCATAAGGTTTGAATACAATTGGAAATGTTGACTATGTCAGTAAATAGAAGGTCAAGTCCCAGGTCATATGCTCCAGGTATAACTACCTTAAACCACACTGGTGTTAGCCACACAATCTTCCAATTGCTGGACATCCCTGGTGCTGAGAACAAGCACATGTGGATTTCCATCTCCTTCTTATTTCCTATGTCATCGCCTTGCTTGGGAACAGCTTGCTCATCTTCATTATCCTCACCAAGTGTAGTCTCCATGAACCCAGGTACCTCTTCCTGTGCATGCTGGCTGGAGCAGACATTGTCCTCTCCACGTGCACAGTGCCTCAGGCCTTGGCCATCTTCTGGTTCCATGCTCAGGAGATCTTCCTGGATTGTTGCATCACTCAACACTTCTTCATCCATTCCACCTTCCTCTCTGAGTCAGGAATCCAGCTGGTGATGGCATTAGACCACCACATTGCCATATGCTACCCACAGAGATACACCACCATTCTTACACAGACACAGATTGGGAAAATTGGTTTGTCTTTCTGAGAAGTTATGGTACAATATTCCCCATAGTATTTCTTCTGAAAAGATTGACATTCTTCCACACACTGTTTGTGAGCACATCGGGTTGGCCAAATTTTCCTGTGATGACATACGAATAAATATCTGGTATGGACTTTTTGTCCTAATGTCAACAGTGCTTTTAGATGTTATGCTAATTTGTGTTTCATTCATGCTTATTCTCTATGCTGTCTTTCTCATCCCTTCCCAAAATGCTTGTCACAAGCTCTTAACACATGTGGTTCCCATGTCTGTGTCATTATCCTCTTTTATAGTCCTGGGATCTTCTCAGTCCTCACTTACCAGTTTGGATGGCACATTTCATCCCATATCCATGTACTGCTGGCTATCGTCCACATGCTGGCTTCTCCTATGCTGAATCCCACTGTTACAGAAAACTGGAGAAGAACCAAGCAATACTTAGATAGAATTACATTTATTACGTGCGGGTCCAGAGGAAAATGTCTCTCAAATTCTGGGCCCCAACATGGAGGATTTTTTCCTATTTATATGTTTTTACCTTCTTTGAATCCCAGATATGGGGTGTTTCCAGCCCCCTTTGCAAGTTTTTAAAGAGCCCCTATGTGCTGGGGTCTTGAGACCTCAACCAAAGTCTTGGCCTGGTGCCAGCACTGATAATTTCATCAGGGGAAGGTGTAATCCTCTCTGAAGTGGGAGTAGTCTTATTTTCCTTATTATTTAAGCAAGCAAGCATTTACAGAAGCCAAAAACCAGGGTTAAAATTTCAAACAGCAGTTTTTATATAAGATGGATGCTTCACCATCATTTATGGGATTAAGACCAAACAAGTCAGAGACCTGATGACTCATGTCTTCTTCCCAAAAGAACTATGATTTTGAGAATGGAAACCAAGCTACTGTTTTCCCAATAGTCATGAGGTGAGCTTTGGAACCCCTACTAGGTTAAGGATCAGTTGAGACTAGATAAATGTCTGAGTGTAAGTTTCTGAAGTAAATTCACAGGTGAGCTTGGGGACATTTTCAACTCTCTGATCAATAATAATAGATTGGTCCTGCTTAGGTGACATGGTTGGTTGGGGTGTCATCCCATACACTAAAAGGTTGGAGGTTGAAGTCCTGGTCGAGGCATATGCCTAGGTGGTGGGTTCAATCCCTGGTCAGGGTCAAAGAGGCAAACGAATTAATGTTTCTTTCTCATATCAATATTTCCTCCCTCTCTCTTTTCTCTTCCTCTTTCTCTGTTTTTGTCTCTCTCTCATACTCTAAAATCAATAAAAATATCCTTAAGTGAGCAGCCGAGCCCAGGGCAGCAGTGGCCAGGCCCAGAGCAGTTGGGTGTGGAGCGGCCCGGAGCAACAGAGGCCAGGCCCGGAGCAGCCGGGGCCCAGAACAGCTCGCTCCTCGCCTGCCCATGCCCCAGGGCTGCTTCTCAGACATGGCTGGAAACTTTTGGGGGAACTTGAAGGTCTGCTGAATCAAGTGATGAAGGCTTAGATCTGGATGTGTTGAGTTGTAGCACTGGAGTGTTGATCCGTGAGTGCCTTGTGTGGGGTCTGGATGAGGTTGGTTGATCTATTTGGATGTGTCTTTCGTTTGAAGTGTATCCTTGGGAATGTGGAGGTATTATTGATTTGAGGAAATGCTAAGTAATTGATTTGCTACCTGAAAAATTTAAAGTTCTGAAAGTTTAAGGTCTCTTGTCAAAAAGAGGTTTTAAAGCTAACACCTTAATTTCAATGGAGAAAGGGG